GAGCTCAGGGAATTCCTGTAACTTATGACATGCTTGCTGGAGAAGGAATCTGCAGGTAAATAGGACAACAATTGGATTTTGATGTGGCCGTTTATGCTCAGGTAAATACAGCTGCCTGGAGGGCCTGGAATAAACTTCCACAAGCAGGTAGACAGGTGGAGGATTTGTCTAAAATCTGTCAGGGACCTGATGAGTCATTTCAAGATTTTATGGCAAGATTAATGCAAGCAGCAAACAGACTTATAAGTGATGAAAAGTCTGGATTGTTACTAGTAAAACAATTGGCTTATGAGAATGCTAACAGTGCTTGCCAAGGAGCTTTGAGACCCTTTAGGAAGAAAGGAGATATTTCTGAATATATTAGGTTATGTTCTGACATCGGGCCATGTTATACTCAAGAAGTGGCTATGGCTGCAGCCCTACAAGGGAAGACTACTAAAGAAGTATTATTTCAGCAAAAGAAAGGCCCAAAGAATGGAATATCCGGAAGTTGTTATGGTTGTGGGCAAATGGGACATCAAAGAAAAAATTGTCCTAATGCTAGTAAGAAAGAAGGGAGTCAAAGGGAACCTGGTCTGTACCCAAGATGTAGAAGAGGAAAGCAATGTGGCTAATCTCTGTAAGTCTAAAAGAGATGCTGCAGGAAACCCTTTAATGCAGGGAAACTGGAAAGGGGGGCAGCCCCAGGCCCTGCAACAATATTATGAGGCACTACAGAAGTTTGTCCCTCAGCAAGGAAATCCTTTCAGGACCTCTGTAAAGCAACCACAGGTAGCGCAGGACTGGACCTCAGTTCCTCAGCCTACACAGTATTAACTCCCGAAATGGGGATGCAGGCCCTACCTACGGGAGTTTATGCTCCATTACCTAGGGGGACTATAGGATTATTACTAGGAAGAAGTAGTACTACTATGCAGGGAATTGTAGTAGCTCCTGGAGTAATTGATGCTGATTATGAAGGGGAGATAAAAATTATGACACACTCTCCAAATGGAATTTCTGTAATAAAACAAGGTCAAAGATTAGCCTAATTAATATTGCTCCCCCAAGTTCAGACAAAAAATGCAAGTAAAAAGGATAGGAGAGGAGATGCAGGTTTTGGATCCTCTAATACTTATTAGGTACAAGTTATTGGTCCCAATTGGCCTGAACTAGTGTCACAAATTAATGGAAGAAAATTTACAGGGTTATTGGATACAGGAGCTGATGTCTCTGTCTTAACTGCTGATCAGTGGCCTATGCATTGGCCTAAACAAACCTCTATTGCACAATTACAAGGGACAGGACAAAGCCAATGTCCTGAACAAAGTAGTGATGAGTTAACTTGGAAGGATGAGGAAGGACACAAGGGAACTTTTAGACCATATATTGTTCCTGGCCTTCCTGTTAATCTGTGGGGTAGAAATGTGATGAGTAACATGGGAGTGTATCTTTACAGTTCTAGTAATGCAGTTACCAGTCAGATGCTTAACCAAAGACATTTACCAAATTCAGGATTGGGAAAATCTGGACAAGGCCATTAATACCTACCCCAAGAAATTCTAAAAAGGGGTTGGGTCATGTTTAAGGGAGGTCACTGAACAACCTGTATCCCATGCAGATCCAGTAACATGGAAAGCAGATATTCCAGTGTGGGTGGATCAGTGGCCTCTTTCCCTTGAGAAAATTGAAGCCTCTGAGCAGTTAGTACAGGAACAGCATCATAGTGGCCATATTGCTCCATCAAACTCACCTTGGAACTCCCCTATTTTTGTTATGAAAGAGAAATCAGGAAGAAAGAAAAAGAGGACTGACTATGAAACTTTGGTCTGATTCTGGTTTTCAGCGGAACAAAACAAGCTTGCTTCAGAAACTCTTGGGAGGCCCTGTAACTGCCTATGTAAATTCTCCTTTTGCTTTGTTGTTTGGAAATGTTAACAAGATTCAAACTTTAATGTTTCTTGCCATCCATGTAAACTAACAAACTGTATTTCTAAGCTTTCAAATGGTTCTGATTGTTTGACAGCCTTTTACTATGGTTCCTGTGAATATTTCTCAGGTTTGGTATTTACACAAAGTCATCTTTTAAGTCACTTTTATGGAGTGTTATTTTGGACTTGGCTTGTGATAGGAGATGTGCTCCTATCAGTGGCAACTGAAACCTGCCTGAAGGCCTTTTAAAATGTCAAAGCTAAGCTGATCTGCATAAGATTAAACCCCAGTATCTACCCTAGCAGAGGTTGGTAGTCAATGATAGGTTATGTTTCTCTGGGATATTTTCAACCCAAGGCAGGGCATGAATGATGGAATTCACGTACCGATGACAGGTAAGAACATATCTTACGAGACAAACAACCTAAGACAGGCACAATCTTCTGCTCCATAACTCTTAAGTTATGGTCAAATTTTAAAAAAATTAAAAAGAGAGACCTGTTGGGAACCGCTGTTCTAGCAGCTGCTTTGATATTTAAATCTCAGCGGAAAGACTGGTTTTACCATGGCCTTCACTGAAGTCAGGGAAGAATTTCCAAGTCTATCTCCTTTTGTTTGTGACAGCAGGTGGGAGAGCTTGTCAAAATCACACCTCTTGTTTCACCTCCTTGTGAATTTAACCCATTGTGCTGAGCTGTTCTTACTCTGGCTTAAAAGCAGTCTGAAATAAAGCAAGATGTCTGGCCTCCACTAGAGCCTCTCGGAAAGAGCTCCTGTGTTGTGTGTTTATTTATTTTAATCCTCACTCCTGACTCAAGAACTGTTTGACTCTGCTGGCGGGCTCCGGCAATTAACAATCAAATACAAAGCACCAGAGCATACTGTAATACGAGACTTTTTTATTCTATCTTATTGAATTTTATTTTGGGGGTGGAAATTTGCAGGGCAGGGGCAGGTACAAAGGGAGGGAGAGATGAGGGGGACTCAGGTGCACGGTGTGCAATTCACAAAGAATCAAAAAAGTTAATAAAGTAAAAATACACAGAAAAACCAAAACATAAACAAAAGAACAAACAAAAACAAAGTCATTGGTTCACCAATTTGATTTTGTGGCATTTGTACTTTGCTCTGTCATTGGGTCTCAATTTGGAGTGAGTATATGTGTGTGTTGAGTCTCCCCAGGAAACGTTTTGCCACGTAGCACCATCGAGGCAGGGAGTTAGCTTACCTGGCCAAGGTCACCTGATATGGCCACGAGGAAGTAAGCCAGGTTGGTGGCAGTGACCACAGCAAGGCTGAGGCTGACAATTTTATTGAGATTAATCAGATGTTTTATACCTTTGTCAGAAACAAAATATAATGGCAATTTCTGGGATTGATACATCGGTAGTTGCCAGGATACACTTAGGTTGGCACGTTACACAGGGCACAGAAGATTAACATCTAGGACTTCCGAGGGAACGTGCAGAGACACACAGAGAGGCCGGGCCCTTCACCGCCTGAGGGAGGCTCACAGGTGCCCAGGAGCCATGGACTAACTTGAAAAACCTGTGACACATGCTCCTCGGGGAAGTTCAGGCCCTCAGGGAGCACACAGAGAGCCCCATCTCCTCACAGAGGGAGCACACAGA